TTGCTGCAAATGGTAGAATATTTTTTGCGGCATTATTCACAATAGCCAAGATCTAAAAGCAACCTAAGTGTCTGTCGACAAATGAATGGACAACGATGTGAGGCTATATATGTATAAACACACAATGGAATAGTATTCAGCCTTAAAAAGGAAGGAACTCTTGCCCTAGCCGGTTTTGCTCAGTGGGTAGAGCATTAGCCTGGAGACTGAAGGGTCCCAGGTTCAATTCTGGTCAAGGGTACGTACCTCAGTTGCAGGCTCTCCCTGGTCGGGGCTCATGCAGGAGGCAACCAATCAATGTATTTCTCTCACATTGATATTTCTCTCTGTCTTTCCCGCTCTCTTCCATTCTCTCTAAATCAATGGAAAAATATCCTTGGGTGAGGATTAAAAAGAAAAAAAGGAAGGAATTCTTTTTTATTTGAGTAGCAGTGTTTTGATCCAACCCTCATCAATCAACCCATGTGAAACTGGGTATGTTGCTTAGCTGCTGTAACTCTCCGTTCTTCATCTCTACAAGGTTTTGTGAGGATGAAGAGAACAATGTATCAGAAAGAGCTCTGGAATCATAAAGCAATGGAACATTAGGTATTAAGAACATAGACATGACTTCTGAGATTAAACAGGCAACCTTATCAAGCCCAGGTGTTCTTAAAACCTAACAGCATGGGCCGAGCAATTATTAAATGTTAGAACTAAAAGAAACTCCATGACCTTCCACCAAGTCCTAGCTGTTAATGATAGGAACGGAGGCCCTGAAAGGCCAAGGCCACACAAAGTTACTAGTTGCACAGCCAGTTCGAGAATTCAGAACTGCTGACCCTGTGCCCAGTGTGCTCATTAGCCTACACAACCTCCTTCTAACGGCTGGTTTGAACAGTGATCAGACACAACCAAACTTTAGGCCAGTCCCCACCATAATGGAATAATCAGACAACTCAAAGTAGCCCCCAAACACTCCCCATTACATATTCGTCTTACTTTCCTAACTCCCACCTTCATGCATTGTGTGTGTGTGTGTGTGTGTGTGTGTGTGTGTGTGTCTGCCCCGCTGAAAGCTAAATCAGCCAGGGTATGGGCCTCTATTAGCCATATTACCACATAGTGCCTGCCACATAGAAGTCCTTAATAAATGATTACCCAATGATGGTTAGGAAAATGGGCTTTAGTCAAATGATTTATGCTTACAACAGGTTTGACTTAATGACAGGTATCTTCTTTGACAAATTTTTAAGCCATTTGTTTGGGTGACGTGGAGGTTTCATGGGCCAAATCGGAGGGCAAGAATGGCTCAGGCAACCAGACAAGAGGGGCCTGAATCCCATTCCCATGCCGTAATCGCCTGGTCCTGCTCCGTCTTGCTCCTCTAAGGCACCCGTTGTCTAAACAGTACCAAGTGTTAACTTGCTAAATCAGTTACACCCAAAGGGTTGAGATTATTTAACAATGCACTCAGATGAGGTCATATCAAGAATTCTGAGGAGAGGCAGAGTTTTCAAAGAGTCCAGTTCCATGCCAAGGAGCTATTGTTTATGAAATGATTTTTGGAAAATGAAGGATTAACTCAGTAACTAATCTCTTTCATGGGAATTCATTATGCTTAATTCTCTAATTTGAAATTCTTGGTTTTAGATCCATTCCATAATGATGTTATTAGTCTCACTTTTTAGAAGAAACATGTGGAGCAAATGCTTCTGAATTTAATTGAAATGAAGTCTTAATTATTTTAACTCATCTTCATGGAGGAAACAATTCATAATTGCCAACCATCTTTGTTCTCAAAGATTGGTTCCACCTGCCACCATTGGGAATGTCCAGGAATATTCTCCTGGATTCTGAATTCCTGGAGGTCAGGGACTTCGGAGTTTTGTTCATTGGTGTATTCCTAGAGCCTGGGGCAGTGATAGGCTCATAGAAGGAATCTAATCATGATTTGTGAGTGCATAAATAATGTGGGGCTATTTGTCTAAGTTGAAACCCTCCTATGGCTTATTCAGGGAAAGATCAGACTGGGCCTCGAGCTCTTAGCCCTGTCCCAGTACAGACCTGTGACATCCATAGTCTCAGGCTAATTTATGGCACTTTCCTCAGAGCCTCCCTCTAGGACAGTGGTTCTCAACCTTCTGGCCCTTTAAATACCGACTTTGGCACATGGGCCACGAAGTTTCAATCGCACTGTACATGGTATTTTGTGGAAGAGCCACACTCAAGGGGCCAAAGAGCCGCATGTGGCTCGCGAGCCGAGGTTGCCGACCATGGTCTTAGGCGACCCCTGTGAAAGGGTCATTCGACCGCCACAGGGGTCGCGACCCACAGGTTGAGAACCGCTGCTCTAGGAGCACTGAAGTAACTGGATGCCAGGAACCACTGCAGAAACCAAGGGGAACCTGACAGGGATGGAGGTGGAGTGATTTTGGGAGAATTGTGAGATAAAGACTTAGATGAATGCAGGTCTGGTCACTCCCACACTGTGTGTGAAGCTCGCCAAATCACGTCCTCCCTCCAGACCTCATCCCCAAACTGAGGAGTTCTTTAGATCATGGGTTTTCTCATCTAAAATCCCCACTCTGTGGTCTAGAGTCAGTTTTTACACTGGGTGCACCCAAAGGTGAGCCCGTCTCCACCTCTGCCACTCCCCAATGCCCACAAGCGAGGCCTGAGCCTACTGCTGCACCTGCCTCTGGCCGGGGCCAGGTCGTGCATGCCCACTAGGGGACAGAGCTGACTGGCCTAGTATCCTTTCTGCATCTTAGAGATGAGGCCGATTTCTTCCAGCCCCACCAGGTAATAAACCTGGGCACTCTAGGAGTTACATGGTGGGAGGTTCAAGAAAACCAACTGGATTTTATGAAAAACAGGTAACAAAGTATCTTTCTCCTTTTTCCATGGAAATGAAAATAACTTTCAAAGATCCTACCCTCGATGGGAGTATCTGCTCTCCCAAAGCCCACTTGGTATCTGGTCTTCAAAGATGACCCCCAAATGAAACACATATCCCAGTATCCACACCACTGAGTGGCCCTCTCTCACACCTGCAGGCTACACCTGTGTCACCAACAGAATGCAGCGAGTGACACTGCGTGACTTCTAAGGCAAGGTCATAAGAGGGCTTGCAGCTTCCACTTTAATCTCCTGGAATGCTAATTCTTGGAATGCTCACTCCTGGGCCCCTGCCACGATGCTGTAAGAGGCCCAAGCTACATAGAGAAGAAGCCACATCTTGGCACTCCAGTTGACCACGGCCCCAGCTGAGCGCCCCGCAAGCAACCAGCATCAGCCACCAGGCCCACGAGGGCGCTATCGTGATGCTTGGCCCAGACGAGTCTCTAGATTGCTCCAGCTCCAGCTGCCATCTGACTGTACCCACATGACAGACCCCCAAGAGAGAACTGCCCAGATGAGCCCAGTCAACCCAGCAGACCAAAAGAGAGAATACGGTGTTGTTCCAAAGTTTTGGAGTCACTTATTATGCACAGTTAAAAACTATAGCCCAGCCCTAGCCGGTTTGGCTCAGTGGATAGAGCATCAGCCTGGGAACTGAAAGGTCCCAGGTTCGATTCTGGTCAAGGGCACATGCCCAGGTTGTGGGCTCGATCCCCAGTTGGGGACTTGCAGGAGGCAGCCGGTCCATGATTCTCTCTCATCATGGATGTTGATGAAATCAATAAAAATATATTTAAAAAATAAAAATAAAATAAAAACTATAGCCCAGCCAGCGTGGCTCAGTGGTTGAGTGTTGACATATGAGCCAGGAGGTCACGGTTTGATTCCCAGTCAGGGTACATGCCTGGGCTGTAGGCTCGATCCCCAGTGTGGGGTGTGCAGGTGGCAGCCAGCCAATGATTCTCTATTTCTTTCTCCCTCTCCCTTCCTCTCTGAAAAAATTAAATTAAATTAAAGATAAAAAACTACAACACTGCCCCAGATTCCTTTACAGGTTTCTATGACCCTAAGCTGCTCTCAAAAGCCATTTACACTCACTTATACAAGACTTGCCCTTTCTTAACAAAGGTTTTCAAATAGCTGGTTTTATTTTAAATGCCTGAAAATTAAATTCTGACGTTAGGATATTTTTTCCTATTGGATTTGCAAAGCTTTGCACTGGAAGTAAAACAATGAAGTTGAGTTCTTTAAATCCTATATAATAAAGAGGTAATATGCAAATTGACCCTCACATCACAAGATGGCCACCCACGTCATCACAAAATGGCCACCCTCACATCATCAGAAGATGGCTGCCCCCCTGTTGTCACAAGATGGCCACCCCCACATTGCCACATGGTGGCTGGCAGGGGATGGCAGTTGGGGGCAACCAGGCCTGCAGGGGAGGGCAGTTGGGGGTGATCAGGCTGGCAGGGGACCAGTTAGGTGTCAATCATGCCGGCAGGGGAGTGGTTAGGAGCCAGCAGTCCCGGATTGTGAGAGGGATGTCCAAGGGGTCCCAGATTAGAGAGGGTGCAGGCTGGGCTGAGGGACACCCCCTCAGTGCACAAATTTTGTGCACCGGGCCTCTAGTATATGATAAAATAGTTTTATAAACTTGGATCCAAACACATGTCAGTGACTATGGGTTTATAGCTCTTGTAAATATGTTTTTCAAAATTATCCTGAAGACAAGTATCATATGATTTCACTCATCTGTGGAGTCTAATGAACAAAATGAACTAAAATGCAAAATAGGGAGAGACTCATAATAGGGAGAGACTCATAGATAGAGAGCAGACTGACAACTATCAGTGGCAGGGAGGAGGGGTTGGGTATTGAGTAAAACAGAAAAAAATATAAATCAAGGCTTAATTTATGGCTTTGTTAATTGTACAGACTTAAGAAAGTGATGCTAATAATGCCGATTCTACTTAAAACTGTGTCAAGTCTGTAGCTGTTATATTGTGATGAGCACATCAAACAGGAAATGTTCTTTTAGATACAGCAAAAAAAAAAAAATCACTCATAATTGACAAATGAGTGATTTCCTAACTTCTTTGTTGTTTCACTTTCAGGTACTTGCTAATGAAAATACCAGCCAATATTCATGTCAAAACTATGCTTGCCACTCTACACACAAGAGTTCCATATAAATCAATGAGTCCATTGTCTTAGAACCAATTGCCTATATGAAATTTACAATAAAAGCATTTTTATTTTATTGTTATTTGTGAATTGTATGCTGCACACCCTTTATAAAAGGAAAATTTATAAACTTGAGTATGCATATACGCAAGTTGTCCAACAGGGGGCATATACATGCACACGTTTTTCTTTTTCAGAGAATATAAAGACTTAGCCACTTCCCTCCGACTACCCTCAGAAACCCCTCATCTCTTCCCACAAGACCACCAGGCCCTGCTGCAGCCACCAGGACCTTAGGCCAAGTGAGGTCACAGTGGGCCTGGGGAAGGGCCTGGAAGCTCCAGGCCGAGGAAAGGAAGGCCCGTGTTTACAGTGAGGGCCGGCTTCAGAATGGCCTTTGTGTGCTCAGGGCCTTTATTTATTTTCACACCAGCCTAAGGCCTTTGACCCCAGTTTGAAGTCAAACAACAGGAAGAAAGGTCCTTTTTTATTTCCCATAGGGATTGGCCACATGGTTTAGAGAGAACTTGGGGATGCTGTGAAGGCTTGGTCGGGTTATCCCAGAGCGCTGGAACCACAGCTCGTGTTAGAACTGGAACGGATGACCCATTGCCTCCTGGAGGCCATGCAGCCTGCGGAATCCCGCCCTCAGGCGGGTACCTCTCTGTTTCCTGTCATGCTGTTGTCCTGCAGGGGGCATACTAATTTATTTCATTATTTTATCCCCATATAATTTATACCCTAAATCAAGCACTGATTTCCAGGTCAGAGAGAACTGTTTCTTATTGTATGTGTGTTTTTAAACATATTTTTATTGATTTCAGAGAGGAAGTGAGAGAGAGAGAGAAACATCAATGATGAGACAGATTCATTGATTGGCTGCCTCCTGCACACCCCACACTAGGGATGGAGCCCTGACCAGGAATCAAACCATGACCTCCTGGTTCATAGGTCGATGCTCAACCACTGAGCCACACCGGCAGGGCAAGAACTGGTTTTGAGTCTTTGCAAGTGTGTTAACTACTTAGAGCCTTGACTCCTTCATCTGGGAGGTGGGGAGAGTAACACCTCTGTGCAGGGTCGTTTGGAGTGTCTCACCATTGCTGCAGGTGGATTATTAGCACAACGCCTAGTGGCGGGCAGTGCTCAGGGAAATACCATGTCCTGACTGCTCATAACTGCTCCCTCTGTGGGAATTAGGAAGAGGCCAGCGCATGTATAGCAACTCAATCTGAACAAATGAAAATGAAGCTTATTATTCTTAATAAATAGGCTTTTACTGAGCAGCTGCTATGGGTGGGAGTATCACCCAGTTTTCTAGTCACTCATGAGCAAAAAGCAGGTAGAGTATTGGTTTTAATACTTTCTCCCTCTCATGAGTGATAAAAGGGGTTGTTGTAAGCTGACTCCAAAGTTGCATTCATTTTTGTATTAACCAAATCTTTGTTGAGATTCTACTATGTGTCAGACACTGGGCTCGACTCTGGAAATGCAGAGGTGAGTGACCCAGACAAGGTCCCTGCTCTCATGAGGCCTCCGATCTAGGTGGGGTGCAGGGGTCATCTTTTAAAAATCCACACAGATAGTACAACTATGAACTATGATAAGTGCCCTAGAAGAAACGTATAGGGATCTCTAAGCACGTGCAAACAGAAGACCCTGATCTAAGAACGTAAGGAGAAAGATTTTTATATAACTGAAAGGGAAGGGAAGGAAGGGAAGGGAAGCGACGGGAAGGGAAGGGGAGGGGAGGGGAGGGGAGGGGA